AGCCATTATCCTATTCACCTTTTCCTTCATATCCAGAATCAGGCTTTAAAAAAACTTGGTAGGCAACACTTTATATGCTAAGAATACTAAGACCATTCGGACAATCGGTGTAGGAATCCCATATTTTTCATCAATTAACTCATAACAGTGTTATGTGCATGTTTTAACAATCAAACGACAATTATTTTCAAAATCAAAAAAAAAAAAAAAATTCAGGAAGATGGCATTTTTTGTCCATCGGAAGAACAGCCAGCTTGTTCAGTAGCTGAAAATTGTTATGCATGAATATAAAAATTTGTCCTTTTGTGCGCATTACAGTGGTATAGTACCAGCTAAACTTGAAAGAACTCAATAAAGAATCAACGAGCTGCCACAGTTCCTAATTCACTAATTTTTTAATTAAGCTACAATACATGTTTGAAATGCCGAACTGTAGAATCCTGGTTGTAATCTACAGCTGGCAAAACTATATCCGTTTCGGTGGTAAATTGATGCAGGCGTGGCTGACATTTCAGAAATAAAAATCCCTAGGGCAGCAAATCATCGACAGCCTGCTCCATACGCGAATCCAGCGTGGCTTCTTTGGGAGGGAGGAAGGGCGATTTTGTCAATTTTTCCCCCTTGCTCCAGGTACATCGCAAACTGTACTGTTTCTACCACCCCCCGCTTGACACTACATCGGAATCCTCATCTTCATTACCTCCCCTGTCTCTCGCCCGTCGGCTCTAAACCGCTGCGGCTAAGGCAATGAGGAGGGAAGACGAAGAAGAAAGAGGGGCTTCTGGGGAAGGAGAGAGGAGAAGGGGCGACAGGGGATATCGAAAAAATTTTTTTGCAGTAAAACAATTCCTACCAGTGCCACTGGGTGGGTGGAACAGCCATTGCCCCCTCCCTTCTTCCTCCCTCGTCTCCCTTCTGAATCCGCCAATGGCTTGCTCCCGAATGTTACCGCTTGGTCATTTCTGCGTGCTAGTTTCTTCCAGAAAGTGTGAAATACGAAGATTTCAGTTTTTCTATCTTCTCAGCCTGAGATTCGACACGAATCACAGGGCTACTTACCATGGCTAATTTAGAAGCCTTCACAGTGACGGGAGATAACAATGCTCGCAAAACAGAAACACGGCTGATGCTGGCAGACTGTTAAGAAAATATCAAGTTATGTTTTTAGTGTACGAGTTTGCGCGGTAAAAACTTGCTCCGGATCGGCCAGCGGGTGCCGTTGTTTGATCGCGCAAATGTATGTGTAAAGTTATATCTATGGACAGACACGCGTCAAGCCTTCGACTCTGGGTTGATAATCTGTGAACTTGACTAACAATGAACATATGCCGTTGTATTAGTGTGTGTAATAAAGTTGCTCTAACTCTGCCGGATCGTCGCGTCAAGATCGGCCTCGCAGTCGCTCGCTCAGCGTACAATCTTAGTCCCAACACCTTGTTAATTAAAGCCCCCTCCCAGCTCTTCGTTTTCGATCCAGACAATTCGACGTCGGAAACAACGATGTAACAGCCGTTTAATACAAAATGTGAATGATAAGAGACTGTTCGAGGTGACCCTGAAGTTAGAAAAAAGCATGAGGTGCCGCTACGAACCAGCAGTGCCACTGATTCCTGCTTCTGCTGATCCCGCCGTCTGCTGATTTACAACATCCTGCATCTGCACTGCTCCAGACTGCAGTTCTTTCTTCACTTCATTCAATTTGAGTTTCAGACTTTCAATCTCCCTGAAAAGCTTAACATCAAAGCAGAGATTAATTCTGGCTGAGCATATCATTGACTGGTTGTTGTCATCACAACACTATTACCTCCACGCATGCCTCCTCTGTCTCGTCCAAAAATAAAATACGAAATTTGGGTTACCGAGCCCATCAAAGAAGGAATGGTCTGGAGATCTGACATTAATGCAGTTAGTGGTACACATCCACACACCGAATGTAGCCATGCCAAACCCTTCGACCTTAAGCCTTATCTCCAGATATCCCCTGTTATCCTGCAGTTTCGGCTTTTTGAGCTTTGTGAAATGGCTGCAGTTTACTGCTGCCATCATTTTCAATATTCTTCAAAAAATCACCGATCGCTTTCATGTTATGAAGCGGCACCTTGATCATCGAAACATTGGCGGACTCGGGGGCGGGAAGCGGGGAGGGGAAGGGTATGGGTGTTCTGCCCCTTTCCCTCAGCCGCACAGGTAGCAGTTGTTTTACGGTAGAAAACTCTCTCCCATACACTCTGCCGTCCCCCTCCGCCCCCCTCCCCCTCAGGAGCCCCATTTTTCTGCCCTCTCCCCGATCGTCCCCATAGTTTGAGACGGATCAGCGGGAATGGGGGCGGGAGGGGAGGGAGCAAGAAGTTGTCCAAACTTCCTCTCTCTCCTCCCTCCTCAAGAAGCCGTCCTGGATCCGCCTATGCATCGAAGTTTCTGCAATTTTTGAATAACAAATTAGAACCGGGCAGGAACGGGAAGAGCCATGCCATTAAATTAGTTTTTTTTTTTTTTTTAACTCGCTTTTTTCCTGATATTTCTGCATCCGGTATGTGGCTGCATCCAGGCAAAACCATAGCTTCCCGGGGAAGCCTGAGTGATCCTTGAGCAATTAAGAAAAAAAGCATTTCCACTAAAACAAACGCTTCAAGCTGCTGTTTCTCGTGATCGTTGCTTGCAGTCTGAAGTGCGTTCCAGAGTTCGTTCACCTGAACAAATCATTGTTAATAAAAAAAAAAAAAAAAAAAAAAAAAAAAAAAAAACA